GGCCGAAGCTGTGCTTCAACCCAGATCTCCTTTGGGCTATGTGATTGTGATGCTAATTTTGTGCATTTTGATAGAAATCTCACACACATTTTAAACCATTTTTTTTCACTTGTACATTTTTTCCCCCAGGTTTTTGGAGTCTTCAAAAATCCCTTGCAAGTTGGCAGTGCACATCGTTAGCAACCACTGTTTGACTGGGGAATCCCTGGCTTGTATTTACAAAAGATAAATCGAGACGTTAATTCACTCAGAACTGCCCCAGACTCTCTGGCCCGTTCCTTCTCACCACTCTAAGACTGGGAATACTCTCCCAGGTTCTTTCTTGCAAAGGTTAACAGTGTCTACCAGGAACAGATAAATATGCTATATCCACGTGGAAAATACTATTTGTTTCATTTAATAAATGAATCTACACAAACGTATACCAACATACTCCAAAATTCCTGGAGCTCTAGGCCATCAGTTAATTGAATTGTTGAGTTTTGATTTTGTTATTATTTGGAAAGATTATAAATAAATGTGTTATGTTTTCTTAGCTGTACAGTTTACCCCTCTCTGCATAGCATGAGAGACAATCTCGTCTGAGACTGTTGTGGGGAAAATGGAAACTTTTATAATGGAAATATTGCTGGAATTCTGTATTTTATGCATAATAATCTGACATCACAAATTGACACACACACACACACACACTCAACTAATCTTACATTCTTGGAGGTCACTTAACAAAACTCTTGTGAAGAACTGATAAAATAAATCCTGCCTACAAAGAGTCGTAAACAAGATCTTGCTGGGGGATAGACCATGCTGCAAACAGATCAAGTAGACAAAATCCTCAGAGAAATGGCAAAGGCATCTGTAAGAAACTAAAACTCTGTAGAAGACAAGCATAATGAGAGTCAGTACCATAATCTGAGATAGTCAATAGGGGACAGAGGAACTGACTCTGATGCTTCTGACACTGTCAGGAAGTTGAATTGTATCCCATGTGATTGCTCTGAGCATCTGAAGTACCATTGCTGTGGTACTTGCTGATGGACATCGAAGGCTGTTTGAAGGTAATATATGATTGTTCCCATCGTGCTGAAATTGTGTGGGGCTAATTTAATAATCCTTTATATTCTGTTCACATGCTTTTCAAATGTGTTTAAATACATTGGTCTAATTTCATTCTTTGGCAACTTAGTGAAAAAAAGCTAAATACTGTCACTGGTTTTTTAGTAACAGGAACACTCATGTGACCTGAACCATCTTCCCCCTCCACGTTCCCTGTGCGTCACCTTCTTCTAATGTAGCTGGGAAAGGTGGGCGTGCGGGTGGGATCTGTCTGTCACTTCTCTTTCCATGTTGTCTACTCCTTGTCTCATGGTGCCTTCAATGCTCCTAGACCAGCCGGGGACCGTCCCTCATCCCGCCGGGCAGCTCCTGCAAAGTCCAGGACTCCTGTCATCCTCCATGTGATTTGACCTCCAGCAAAAAAAGGAATTCTGCGCGCAGGGGAGTTCACACTTTCAGTCCACTGAGATGAACTGTGTGCATGATTGACTTCACCAAAGTGACAGGGCTTACTCGTGACTAAGCCTGTGAGAGCCAGAGAGCAGACTACCTGCCTGCGAGTTTAATGTTTGAGTCCACACCACGGTTCCCTCCCCAGCCCTGCCCTGCCTCCCCTCCTCTACCCACAGCTTCGTCAGAATGTGGCTAATGTCTCAGCCTACTGCCTCTTTTTGAGATCCTTGAGAACAGTCCAAGGAATAAGTCAGCAGATTACTCTAGGATAATAACTAAGAGGAAAACACGAGCGACTCCCTAAAAGCCTGTCGTAGAATTATAGACACTGCCAAGAGCTAGCAGAGCTTGCGAAGAATTCTGCAGCCTTAGCTCCCGTACGTTCTATCAGAATGTTTCTCATTAAAAACCTGTTGTCTCTTCTATACATGAATGATTTCTGCATAAGTGAGTGAACAAAGAAGAGAGATGAGTTAGCAATGCTTCTGTAAAACACAACATAACATCATTTAATCCAGATTCAAACTCTAAGCAATCTTACTCTCTAAATTTAGTAGAAATGAGTATTTTCATACATTTCTGTTAACGCCGATTTCATTTACCTTAAATAGTGAAAAAATATTGCACTCTATGTCGATTAGATTCTTGAAACCGGTATTTTAAAGAGGTTTAATGGAAATATATACATCAGCCGTTTCACAGAGCAATTTTAAGTTAGTGACCTTGAAGCTCTACACTGAATATGAGTATCTAATTTATAGTGTGTTCAAGGAGGTTTCTTTACGTGTTTTTCAAAGTACTTACTGTGGATATTCTGTATTATCTGTATGTCACATTGTGGTCTTGTGTGTCTTCATGTATATGTTGGTTGTTTGAGTCCAAAGAATCAACAATTAATCCTTTTAAGCATCTTCACAGATTTTTTTTAATGCTTGATGTGAAGAAAAAGAAAAGAAAGTGGTTATATACAAAGTGGTTTATTTAAAAAAAAATCAAATGTTACAGATGAGGGGGGGGAAATACTCTCCAAATCTCATCATTTAGAAATAACCACATGACAGCTTCTCCATTCCTGTGACCACGCTTGGCTCACACCTCGGTTGATCTGGGTGTGGAGTCAGGTGTTCCGTTTTTAACACAATCTTGTTTATGGTACATTTCCCCTGTATTTGAATGTATGAGAAATATGTTTGCTGCCTTTATACTTATATTACTACTTGGTTGGGCCAAAATTCCTTGAATCACAACTTCCTTCTCTCAGATTTTACAGCCATTGTTTCCACTGGATATTATGGACATATTAGACTACCTAATTTTTTTTTTTACTCTTTATACGTGACTTGATTTGTCTTGCTAGATGCCTGTGAGACTTCTGCTTCTTTTTTTCATCTATGAGAAACCTCACCAGAAATTTTTGAAGTATTCAAATTTTTATTGCAAACTTACTTTGGACAGAGTGTATAGTTTCAAGTCTTTATTGCAGAAAAATTATTCTTCTAATGCACTTAAAAATACTTGTCTAAGCCAACTACATATATATATCAAATGATTTTAAAAGGATCTATATATATATATATATGTATCTTTTAAAATCATTTGATTATCTGACTTACTTCATTCTTCCCCATTTCATCTTTTTTCATCTCTGTTATTTTTTTCATCTCTGTTATTTTTTTCCTGAATGTTGCCAGCTCACTTTTTTTCCTTTTGCTATTTTATCGTGTCCTTTGGTTTCTTATATCAACATGATTTTTTAGCTCTTTGTTTTTGAGGAGTTTAATATACACAAGTAATAACTTAAAATGGCTTTACCTTTAAATGTACTAGATGGTCCTTGTGAACTCACTTATCTAAGAATGTAATACATTTGGCGTACTAGTAACACCCAAGAACCACTCAAATTATATTTCTTCATTTATTATGAAACTATTTTTAAGAGGTAACCAACTGATTCAGGGCTAAATAAATTTTACCTAAGAACTATGATTATGTTTTGGATGTCCTTGTATTTCAAATGACTAGCACAGTAGTGTTCACACAATATAGTCTTGACTTTTCAAAAATTCTCAAATGAATTCAGAGTTCAAATGCTATTACTGCAAAAGGCAATGTGAGGCTGCCATAAAAATGACCCAACATAAAACCAACTGAATACCCATGATGTAGACGAGAAGACATTTGGGTTAGGAATTGTGTAAACTGACGGTTGCAGAATGGTGAGGCTAAAGTTATGCTGACATCCTCTCTGTATTTTTGGTGTATGTCCTCTGTTTACAGCTGCACATTTCCAGACATGTTTGAGAAGCATGGATTCATAAGATTTATAGCTACCTACTGTGCCATCTACTTTCAGTAACAGTTGGTTTCTAAATGAATTGGCAAGTAGGCATATCACAGTAGTGTTTTATTTTATTTTCTATGATGTTAGAAATAGTTTCCTTTTGAGCAAAATAGGGAAATCTTTGTGCCTGAAGTGGCTCTTGATAGAGCTTTAAGTACCATTCCTCCTATAAAGGACAAGATGTGGTTTGAATAATTTAGTGGTGCTAAGCTGTCATTATTTTTGAGATATCTATGTTATGGCTTTCCTGAATAACTGAGCCAAACATCTCTCGCAGGAATTTAACAGTTTCTGTCTCTAAATTCCTATGTAAACAATAAGTTGTCCTCCTCGTTGAATAAAGGTTGCCATGACAACTTGGCAAGCTTGTGCTATAGAAGTCAAAAAGCTTTAGCTTTCAGTGTTTTCAAAGATATGATGTTGTTTTGAGCAGCTGTGATTTACATGAAAATAAAGGTGTATGTTCACATAGCCATATCGGTAATTGTAATTAGATCAAAAAATGGATATTTTTGCAGCTAATCCATTGTTGAGCATAATGTTACTCTTAATTCTTCACGTTAACTTCAGGACGATGTCTTAATTACAGAGATGTAAGGGTTAAAGGAAATAACACAGTCATTTTAGATATTTTGATTGCAACAGTTATACTGAACTCTATCTTTTAAAGAAAATGTCTATTTGGCAAGTATATGAGAATTTGGCAACACGATAAATGTTACATAATCCGCCTAAAGACTACATCTGACCTCAGTGTTGCTGAACTCTATAAAAATACTAGCGATAGGGAGAAAAAACATAGTTTTTAACTTAAACGCATAGAATATTTTCTTCAAAACCACCTTTTTATACCATTCATTGAAAAATTGAATATCATCACTATCATGTATTACTCAGGCTTGATGATGTTTTTACATTCTTCCTGCTTGTGCCCTTTGACTAACGTCTCCCCACGTCACCCGCTTCCAGCCCCTGGAACCCCCCATTGCACTCTCTGTTTCCATGAGTTCCGCTTTCTCAGACCGCACATGTGCATGATACCATACAGTATTTATCGTTCTCTGTCTGATTTATTTCACTTAGCACAATTTGCTCAAAGGCCATCCGTGCTGTCTGTGTTCTTGACGGGCAGTATTCTCTTTCATTACAGGAGGACACAGATCATAATTACTATATTTCTCGGATATATGGTCCATCTGATTCTGCCAGCCGGGATTTGTGGGTGAACATAGACCAAATGGAAAAGGACAAAGTGAAGATTCACGGGATACTGTCCAACACTCACCGGCAAGCTGCAGTAAGTGCTCTGACGTTTTAAGTTTCTTTTTTTCTTTCTGCTGTGAAAAAACTTTTATCTTTATTAACCTATTAACATTGTTACGATCAACTTTCAAGTATACTTAGTTCTGCACTTGCAATTTAGATTGATAATTGCATATAAGATATTACAGAAAATAAAAAGAGTTCTTTTCAGAAGCCACTGTTAAATGTAACCATTAATGAATTAAATACGTTAACCATTAATTTCTCCAGTAGATACGATGAATTGAGCTACGTATTCAGTTCAAAGTTGAGATTTATCTTGGATGATTCTCAGTTTTCTTGCAATCCATGCATTTAGAGAACTTTTTAAAAAATTACATGAGTTTACTGTCTCCCATTTTACATGAGTATGTTACTCTTGGTCTGAAAAAGACTTAACCAGAAACATTTATGATTCAGATAACACACGTAGACCAAAATATGGATTTAAATGAAGAAGTTTGAAATAAAAGAATTAAATCTAGAAGAATTCAAGCATATTTTAAGCCTGGTCTCATCATTTACCAACTGTGGTTCCTTAAATAATTTAACTAGTGTGAGGCACAGTGGGGATGACAGAGGATGTTGATACAGGCGTCACTCACCTTACGTGGTCACTGATATCCTGATCTATGTGTCAGGTTGAATGCTTACATGTATTAGCTTTTTCAACCTTCCCAACAATTCTATGATTTAAATATAATTGCCGTTTTCTGCAGCTAGCTATTGCAGATAAGAGAACTGAACTTTGGAAAAATCAAGTAACCGATCTAAGGGTCTCCTGCTAGTAAGCGGTTTAACTCAGATGTTAACCTAGGCAGTCAATCCCCCATTCAAAATGCGTGTAAAAATTATCACACTTGGTTCTCAGAATGTTCTCTGATAATCGTTTTATCAAAGACGATGCCTGATTTAACATTTTAAAAAGAAATTTAGTTTTGCTGCCATGGATTATAGTGGTGATCTGACTATCAGTGAAGCCATGTCTTGTTCAGTGTAGCAACCTAAAGGGACAACAAAATAACTTTTTTTTTTTTCTGCTAGTACCATATTGGTTTTTTTAATTTTTATTTTTATTGAAGTATAATTGCTTTACAATGTGTTAGTTTCAGGTGTACAGCAAAGTGATTCAGTTATACATAATACATATACATATATATATTCTTTTTCAGATTCTTTTCCATTATAGGTTATTACAAGATGTTAAATATAGTTCCTGGTGCTATAAGTAGATCCTTGTTACATATTTATATATGTCTAAATCTATTTTATATATAGTAGTGTGTATCTGTTAATCCCAAACTCCTAATTTTTCCCTCCCACCACCTCTTTCCCCTTTGGTAACTATAGTTTGTTTTCTATATCTGAGTCTATTTCTGTTTGTAAATAAGTTCATTTGTACCATGTTCTTTTTTAGATTCAAAAAACAAAATAACTTTAACCTTTCAAGTGCTATCACTGTTACTATTACAAAGATAAAACTAATAGAGTAATGACTGATGTGATTTAGAGAGGCATTGATTTGATAAATGTAAAATTTCAAAAATTTCGGCCAACAGCTTTCACAGTATAGAAGTAGATGTTCTATATCAGGAGGTCAACTTCGAACAGTTAAAATGGAAATCAATTATAGTTCTCCATGATGGTTCAGTGAAGCAGAGAAGGAAACAAAGTGGCCACCTATCCTGACTGAATTCCATCATCTCTTTTCTTCCATATTCAAGCAATCTAGAGAAGGTGACAGATTCGAAAATGATTCAGTGTTTTAGAACAGATCTTCACAAGAAGAGAAAATGAGGAAGGCTAGATTAGGACCATATCTATTAGGAATTTATTGCATTTGACCATCTTCCCACTATATGAAAGTGCCTAGTATTATAAAATACACTTTGTAACAGTTTGAACACTGGTGTATCCACATGGAGATTCTATGAAGTGGTCCATCTTGTGTTGGCCACTGTGGATGAAACCTCTAGGCAAAGAAAGAATTCCATCAGTTAAAACGTTAGCGGATTTCTTCTTACGCTGTGTCTGGTGCTCTTCCAAAGGGGAAGCAGCTCGTGTGTTCTCTCTTCCCTCAGGAAAGACATATTCTCTTTGGAATAGGGTTTGCTTGCTTGCCTTGTAACAGCTCTCTGATAGTCTCAAGAAAATTTATGATGCTATAAATGATCCATTTCTTTTTCTTATTGTGATTGTGAGAGTGACATTGTTTGTTGCTTGCAACACCACAAGTTGGCTTAAATTCAAATGGAAAGACTGGAATAACTTACCCTGTGCTCCATGCATTGATTTTTAAATACATATCACTGGTTGAAGCCTTTGACTGCTCTGCCACTGTTTTTCCATAAGAATCGAAGCCATTATTAAACATTTCCTAGTGTGAGAGATTGGTCCTGTACCCGCTTTCCCTGTCACCACCACCAAGACACACATGCACACACACACACACCGCATGCACATCCAGGTACACAACTGTGATTTACAACACTAGAACTGATAATATTCCTTAATTCCTTTTTTAGGGAAAAAATTGCCCCTTGGATTCCTTCATTTAAGAAAGTTTTACATCTTGGAACCTATACATTTACTTACTAAAATATTTTAAAATATTTTTCCACATTCTTGCATAAGTATGACTGTTAAATATTAGTTTGAAGATTTGCAAATTGTAGAGAGTGACCCATGTTTTAGTATTGCTTTGTTTGGCCTCCCCACCTTTCCAATCCTGCCTTGTTCTCTTGGCTCCATTTCTATTACCCTTGAAGTAGAACCAGGTTTTCAGAGGTGATGACAGAATTGCAGTGTTGGGGTGGTGTTATGGCCAGGGGCTCAGTAATGCCCACATGTACCCCCTTCCCACCCATCTCCGCACACGTGACATGGCACCCAGCCACAGCTGCTCTCCCCTGCCATGTTGAGACGCTTAACCACGAGGGAGAATGGCAAACGGGAAACAGTGATCCACTTTATTGATTAGGTTCCTGATATCATAATCATAATCTTTGATGAAAAGCTCTCCAGTAGGTTGACTGGAAACAGGATCTAAGTTTAAGCCCTAAGGGAAGAGGGGAGTTGCTTAAATCTTATCACCAAGTGATGTAATTTGCATACCATCCTGTCAACAAATCAGACAAAAAAGAGAAACGATTTGGCAGCCTCAGGGGGCAGTTGGGCAACTAATCCAGCGCTGGGCAAACAGGAAATGGAGTGAGAGAGCTGAGGACTGGATTTCCTGAAGATGCAGCTTCCCTTCCCTTCAGACTGGATCAGAGGAAGGCACAGGAGTGCCTGACCTGGAAACATAATTTTTTAAAGAAATATTTTCCCCTTGGCCACCAGCATTTATAAATGTGATCTAAACAATATTTTGGAATCTTAGATTAATATTCTAGAAAAGGAGGAATGTGGAAAGAGAGGAAGAGTTTTCTGTTTTCTCCCATTCACAATAATGTCATACCTTCAGAGCAGAGTAAGACTTAGAAGTCATTTAATTCACATTTTTTTCACATGCCAAAACACATGGCTATCTATTTCCTTTTAGAATGTAAACTAAAATGATTAGTATTTGTATTATATATGTATGCAGTAATTTGATTACATGTTCCTTCACATCTCCCCATAGTCCCTTTTCTATTTAAATCTCATTGTTCTTTTTGGTTTAAATAACATTTCTTAAATCATGTTTGCCATAAAAACAGATGTTAAAACCTAGTGTCACAGTTGAACACTTTAAAGAAAGGAGGTCATCTTCACAGATAAAGAAAAGTGAAAAATATGTGTCAGTCCCTATCATATGACAAGCAATGAGCCGGGCACCTTACATTCAAATACTGATACTTTGGGGGTTTTGTTCCTTATTCAAAGTCCCCTGGTTATCAAGCTGCAGATCTGGAAGTTTCTAACTACAAACCTAGGAACCAGTTTGGACTTCTTTCTTTCCTTCTATGAGGACCTTCAAATTCCACAATTTTGAGATTTTCTTCTATACTTTTAGATCCATATTGTTTATGGTTGGCACACAGTCTGATTCAACAGCCAGATCAAAGCAGGCAGGTCTGTGTAAATACACATAGTTTATAAATGAGCACAACAGAAGGGACACTGGCCAGAGGACCAGGCTAGGGGACCAGAGGGAGAACCAGAGAGAGAACCCTCCACAGGGACAGGTGCTTTCATAGCACCCAAAGCCCTAGACCCCAAGAGGGCCTCAAGCCACCTGCTCCACTGTATGCCTCTTGCCCCTTCTGAGCCCGGGGCATGGCTGGAGACCAGGTGCACCGGCATGTGGGCACAGCCACCCATGACTTGGTACCTCTCTTGGCCTCTGGCTCAACCCAGCAGGGCTCAGAGAATTGGACCTGCCCTCCTTGCCTTTCAGCAGGGACCAGGGAGAGGAGGCGCTGGGGCAAGTAGGATTATTTCCCTGAAATTATGATGGAAAGGAGTGATGAAGAATCATTTTGCCTTATGAAACCACAGTTGATGAAGTTCTGATTCACAACTTCTGGAGAAGCACCACGGTCCCCGTGGAAGGCATCTAGGGTTACAGAAGTTATGAGACCTGGGCTCCGAAGCTCATGTTCTCAGGTTCTGGCCTTTCTGCACCTCAATTTTATAACCTGGGACAAAGGCAAAAAATGCCTGCCTTGACCATCCTCCAGTGCTGTTTGAAGAATGAAAATGAAATAGATACGAAAGGACACTGAAAATGTCAAACAACAATGAGATAGTGAGGCACTGTTGTTTGAGAGTCCTAATTCTTTACAACAAAAACCAGCAACCCCCAAATAAGTTAATTTCTAAGTAATCTACAAGCATCTTTCTCTACAGATAGATAGAAATGTATCTGTATGTTTATATCTGTATTACATTTCTATATAACTTTTTGCCAAGAAATTGCCAATGTGCTTTTTGCCAGATACACGCTGGCTTTTAAAAAAACAATTATGTTGGTAAAAAGATTGATTCTTCATATAAGAAACACCAGCAAAA